GAAAATTACAGGAGGACGTTCTTATGGAGTGTGACCCACAGGGTAACGTGGCTGTTAAACAACTCTATTTTCCACAGGAGGAATAACAACTCACGTAGCTCTAGGACAGCCTGCAGAGGGATACAACATTCTCTGTTGCCCAAAAACCTGTTTCCATCCTATGCAGGACAGAGCAATACTGCACAGGGCTGCAAAAATATTCTCCCCATTCTTCCAGGGGATTCCCTGTGGTCCTGGCTGCTGAGCTCTCACTGTACGGATCTGTCTTTGTCACGGTACTGCAGCACAATACTGCTATCAGTAAAAATACCTGCCACTCTGGCAAATTAATATTATTATTGCCTGTTTTTTTACCATCCTTTGCCTCAGCAGCGCCCATCTGCTGCCCCACTGCCTTCACCCTCTGGGCACATTCTGCCCAGGTTGGAGGATCTCCCTGGGGGAGGGCACAAAAGGCTCCACTTCACATGAAGCAGACCCGGAGAGCTTCTCATTGTACTCTGTGGCCTCACAGACAAATCACATTAACTTCCATGCTGGGAAATTGTTACCAACTACAAATGATTCATTTTTTTCCTAATATCTTCATGAATCACAAAATCCTTACTGTAGTCCCTTGTCAGCTGATTCTCTCAGAATTCTATCTGTTCTATCCTCATTACACCAGCACGAGTATCACCCTGATCTCCTTTAGAAGTAGGATTGATTCTTCAGATTCAAAGAGAAACTCTGCTCAACATTCTTCAGCAACAGCAAACCAGAACGAAGAGCTCACAAAGCAACAACCTGCCCACGTTTAGGATGTTTCCAAAGGACCCAGAATCTGCCAACTTCCTACCTATTTCTGTAACCCACAAGGAATGTTATGATTAAACAATTCCCTTCACTCTCCTCATTTTGCAATGTTTGTTGCTACTGCAGTACCTTTAGAGCTCTCTTTTTTTTTCCCATGGACAGATCTATCCTCCCCCAAAAGCCTGGTACAAAGAGCTTGTAATAAATAAATATAAATAACTGGTTGTCGCCTGTATGATCCAAACAGGCTCGAGTATTCCAGCCTCTCAGGCATGATAAAACTACAAATGCTTAAGCTCTGAATCAGTTACACAGGCCCTGTACTTGTTAGATTCCTGAGCCTATTACAATCAGCTCTCCCTTCAACCCCTGTAGTAAGAAATGCTTTTTGCTTTTTTCTCCTCTCTCTTCCTGTAATCAGCACTAGATGGGCCCTTAGTTGTCCCTGCTGCTGTCTATTATTAACCCAGAGGCTTCTAATGGAATCATTAACTATTTCACTCACTTCTCCTCTGTGGCCCAGTGTAAGAGTTTGCTCTGGTCAGGAACAATAACTCCAGACAGGAACACTGGCAGGAACATATTCATCTCTTTCTTTTCTTCAATATTAAAGAAAAAATCCAGCCCTTGGCACAGCGGTTGAACATCAAGCAAACCAGAGCTGTTATCAAAACCTCACAACTAGAAGATTCAAGACTAGCAGGCTGCAGAAAAGAGACCGTGGAAATCTGCCCGAGCACAAGGCAAAGGCAGATGTGAGGTCTGAGGAGCTCAGGGAGCTCATTTCCCCTGGTCGGTGAGATCAGCCCCGACGCCGGGGGTGCCATCTCTTGTTGTTATCAGATGCATGTCACAAACCTGAAATACTATCACTCTCCATGCAGCAATACACACGTTGCCTCTCAGAAAAGCCACTGGCAGATGGATTTACAATAACCCCTCCAGAACCCAGAGCATTCCTGTTCTTTTTTCAGCTAAGCAGTAAAATCAGCTTATTTTGATACTTCTGGTCCATTGCAACAAGTGCTTAGGGCTGCTCTAATTATCCTCATTAAAATTCCTGTTAAATGCAGCAACTCTATCAAGCCTTCTCTTAGAACACAGAGACAATCTTAAACGGTGAATGAGAGCTACCATGGACCCGCCTCAGCGTGGACCCCTAGAGAGTCAGGGGAGTTTGGGAGAGCGACGGGCCGACCACGCAGCGTGACAGAACCCTCAGCAACGAGAACACCAACGGACAGGACACGGCGACTGTGAAGCAGCTCCTTACCTGGTAGATCATGACTTTGAAGTTCCTGCGTTTCAGCAGCTCGGCTTCGTTGGCCTCCAGCTTCTTTATCTGCCCAGCTTGCTTCTCCAGGTTCTGCCGGACGGTCTTCACGTTGACGCTCACCTTGCGCACCTTCTCCAGCATCTTGTTGACGGTGTTGCTGGTGGTGGTGTGGGCCTTTGTCAGCTTGGTGAGCTCTCCTTGGATGCTGGTCACCGCGCTATCCATCTCCTGCTGCCTCTCCTCCAGCTGCGTTTGGGTCAGCTGGATCTGATCCACCGCTCCGATGATCTTGTCCAGAAGGGTCAGCACCATCACGCCGTTGATCTGGTCTGATTTGATGGGTTCTTCAGGCACTTGCTCCTCTGAGGCCTCAGAAACAGTTGGTGGTTCGATAATGTGCAAAGTAGTATCCTCCATGATCGCCTGCGAGTCCTGGCCAGCAGAGCCTGGAGAAGCTGTCGCTGCAGGGAGAGAGAGGAGGGAAAACTGAACCCGAGCCTCAGCTAAACTCCGTGCTGGGAGGTGTGCCAGGAACGGAGAGCGCAGCGCGGGGATGTCTGTGCTGCAATTCAAATGGCACAGCCCTGGAAAGCCATCCCACAAAACTGCCCTGCAAAATTTTCCAGGCTTGCAGGTCATTGGCTGACTCCACCTCGGCTATATAAAAGGAGCCCGCTGCCAAATGCCTGGTGACCCACCCTCTCTGAAATGATTAAAATAGTTGGAGGGGAGGCGATGGCTTTGCAGGCAAACACAGGCACTGCTCAGAGAGGAATGCACAGCCCTGAACTGCAGCCACCTCCTCCTCCTTACCGCCAGCCTAAAGCACTATAAGTAAGGAGAGGAAAAAACAAAAACCTTGAGTAAAGGGCTGGGGAAGTGCAAGGGACCCATCTGGGCACAGCTGCAGACACTAATGGGTGGCTGGATTAAACAGCAGCACACGTTAAACTTCAGATGGAAAATTCAGACTTTTTGCCTGTACTCAGCTTTTTTTCCCCAGGACTATTTTCAATACTTTAAAGAAATTTGGGTTCATTGGTTACTTGCCATAACTTCTGCACATTCCCACGTGTGAATGTACCCAGCAGGCGTACACATGATCTGTACAGTGTGCATACATGTCTCTATGCAGATTTAACACAGAAAGAATAAATACAATCCACTCCTGAAGTTAATCAGCTGGCCACTCCCACCTGAAAGCAGCTCTCAGCTCCTCACTCCTCTATCCATCCACTGATCTACTCACTAGGCTTTCAAATGCAGGACATGCTTCAGCACATGCCCTGCAAAACTGTGCTTGTGAGCAACGCCCCGTGTGTGTGTTACATAAGGCTTTATTGGTGAAAAAAACCGATTGTTTCTGAACTCAACAGAGTAACTATTGCTTTGGAAAACATGGGGAAGAAATAACATTCTTTTGCTAACTTTCCACCTCAGCATTGACACAAATCACTGTCCTGCACAGCGCTGGCAGAGGTCTGCGCCTCACGGAGCTACCACCAGCTCACTGCCCGCTTGGGAAGTGCTACCCAAGACACCTGCAACAGCCCAGCAGGAGCCAGCCCAGGAACGTGGAGAAGGAGAGTCCAGGTGGGACCCTCCGCACCCCCACTGGAGCTGGCTCAGCCAAAGGAAACCAGGCTGCTGTGGCCGAGAGCCCCTGGCCTGGCTGAAGGGCTGTGGGCAGACTGGGCAGGCTGTGGGCTCCCTCCTCTCCCGCAGCCCAGACAAGCCGATCACGCTCCGCACACCCCGCCCTGGC